CCCCCTAAATGAACCTAGGTGTGAGAGGATAGAGAAGTTCCAGCCCTCCTCCCCCAGGTGATTTATCCCTCGTTCTTCCAGGCTTGGGGAGTGACTCATAGCCTTCAGCCACTTGGGCACCCAGCCCGGCACTTTTAATTATGTGCCGATGTTGGGAGGAATGGAGGAAAGGAAAGGGGAGAGGGAGATCAGGAAGAGGGGGTAAGGGAAGGATAAAGCCAAGCTGGCTCTCAGCCCCCCCCCCCTACTTCAGGGTCCTCTCCGCTAAAGCTCTTTAGCCGCACAGATGACAGTAAGCGGGGTGGAGGAGTAGCGAGCGTGTGAGAGGTGCCAAGCTCGGGCGCTTTATCTCGTTAGCAGCCTTAAATGCCATGCCGACGTGCCCTCCTATTTGTCATTCCTGCTATTGGTCTCTGAGGGATTTGAGAGGTGCTCTGCGAGTTAAGAGAGACATTTCCACCCTGCATTATGCTTAATGGGAGGTGGAGAGGCCAGCAGGCTTATGGATACAGCAGAAGCAATCAGCGCTGAAATGCCCATCGGAAAAACATTTTTCACAACGCAAGTTCAAACTTAGACGAAGTGAGCTCACCAATGTTGGCCAGCAAAGTTATGCAGAGTGCGAAAGACAATGAGCTTCATGAATAAAACGGACCGCTCTGACTGAGTCAAATGTAGGGTCATCTCAAAGAACATGGCCCAAAAGATGAATAATGACCCCAATTAGATTCACGGCTTCGAATGCTCTTTGACATAAATCTAAGAAAAAGTCCGTAAAGTTCGTTTTTTTTACACTTAACTATGGGATTGATTTCGCTTTGTTTTAAAGTAAACAACTTAAGTTGGTATTATCCAAAAGAAACATCATTCTATTAGCACTAAAGGAATTAGCAACAATTTAGTAGTTATTTGCATTATGTGCTAGATGGATCTAATCAGTTTGAGAGATGTTGGTGTGCAATGATGTGTATCTTAGCCCTAAAATGTAACTTAGGAAAATATCCAAACAACTTTTCTGTATTAGAAAGTTACACACAACTACAACTGGAAAGGGATTTTCAGGGGCCGTGTGTCGATTTAAAGAACTTTGTTTTTAAAGAATATTGAGGCTTAGACTGTGAGTTATTGGACCAATCTAGTGTTGGGTTATGCTTTTCTACGACACGTTGTCCAATATCTTTAGATGTTCCGAGCGGCCGTAAAGGCGGGGTAAAAAGTGAGAAGTTCTAAACCTGGCTCCCTTCAGCGCTGGGTAACGAGTTGGACAAAAACATTAAAGTCAGGAAGATACAGGCGTATTGTTGCTTTTGCTGGGAATTGTGAATGAAAACCATGCCCTCTTAAGTGGATCTCGAGTTCACATACCGAATACAGACCTCAGCATCTAAAAAGGTAGGTAGAGTCAGATTGGAAACCACTTACTGTGCGACCTAAGACCAACGTTTTGGCAATCAGCTGAGACATCACAGAATTGGAAAGTCTACACTAGCCTCAAGGTAAATCGATTAATAATGAGTAATAAGCCCATTCATTACATAAATCGAGTGACTGTCCTGTGATTATTCACCCTACTATTGAACAATTTGCTTCTGATTCTCTCGTGTCTCAGCTTTGCACTAATGCCAGAATAGTGAAAGTGTTAGGAGGAGTATATTAAGCTCCTGTCAGAGTGTAATAAGAAATCACACAGATCGACTGTGCTGTATTGTCACTATTCCCAACCAGCTCTGTATTAGACTCGCTACACAGCACTTGGATTGAACTACGTCTGTATTCAGTGCCAGGCCGTTTTCACACTGCAGTATGCCAGAGAAATAGGCTTGTTTCTTCAAGGCAGAAATGCTGTACATCTGTGTGTATGTGTGTGTGTCTCACTCTCTCTCTCTCTCTCTCTCTCAGAGAGCTAATTATTTCTCCCCCGTTTAGAGCCAACTGTTTCTGTCATCTGTCTCTGTAATGACCTCTGCAAGATGTGCATGCATGCACACACCCCACTCTCTATCTTTTTTCTCCTACAAGCACTCTCACAGCACAAAACCCTCACCAACACTCAGAAATACAGGCAAAGAAACCATACAACATGGATGCACATGCAACAAATATTTCTGCTATTAACGATAACTCTAGCAGTTGCAGTTGAGGGTCAGACTGCAGCTCCTCGGCTACACCTGAAGTCCCTATCTATCTGAAACAAATAGTTGATAAAGAGAATTTCAAAATCCTGACACAAAAGTCAAGAATTCTGATAACTGATAAACCGCTTATCATTAAAGAATGGGTCAATTAACAGACAATTAGTCCAACAATATTCCCATGAGTTTATGTTTTCTTGTCATATTCAGTCAAACACGGTAAACACTGATTGCAACTTATTAAATGTAACCCGTTTATTTCTTCTTCTTTTTTTTATGGGCCCTATTATGCCCATTTTCAGGTTTCCTAATTGTATTTTCTGCCTCTACTGTGACATGTTTACATGCTTAATGTTTGAAAAGGTCTTTATTTATCTCATACTGCCTGTGCAGCACTTATTTTCGACCTTTGTCTGAAACCAGAGCCCTGTCTGCTCTAAAAAGCGTAATAGGGCCCCTTTAAAGATTTATTTTCTCTGTGTTATGAGGTTTTTTAGAGCAAAAAATTAAGTAAGACAATAACAGCGGTTTAATCGTTTTGGTTTTGTCAAGCAACAATGTTACAAACCTCACATTTTAGATGTGTTTCTAGCAGATCTTGCTGTTTTTCTCTGGTTTAAATGAGTCTACATTATGAATCATGATGTAAACTTGGGCCATGGAACATTTCGATGGGACCTTTATCCAGATCGCCTTGATGTCCAAGTGGGTACACTTCATAAAATATAACCACAACATCCTGGGTTATTTGCAAAAATGGCAAAAAAATAAATCTACAGAAAATGAGTAAATGTTACCCAAATCCAATATGCACTTAAAGACAAACCTGGCTATTGTTGCTTTAGGACTGGCAATGAACAGAATGAATGGACATGGAAAGATTACCAGCAATACAAGGTAACAGTTGTCAGGTATGTTCTTAAGTTTTGGTCTTTAAATGTATTTTATTTTATTGATAAGTACAAATCTTCTTCAGCTTTTTGTTTTTAAATATTTTTTCATGTATTGTAGAGGGAGCCAAAATGGACCATTATTTGCAATTACCGGTAATAATGATAAGGGGTCATAGTTTACCTCACAGCATATTGATCTTTTTGGCCCTTTGGGTCTATTCAAGCATTTGTAACCTTTTTACAATTTGCAGGACTAAACCCTATTGTATGACAACAAGACTCTTGAATACATACCTGAATCTTTCTGCACTCAAATCCTGATTGCCTTGAATACATTTCCTGACTAAAATCAGAACTGTTGAATCTTAGCTTCAGGTCTTAACATTAACAAACAAAAAAGTTTAAAATTCTTCAAACTTTTTTCAACTCCAGTATGATCTGATTTTTTTCTTCTTCTAATTGGCCCCTTAAACTCCATGTCATAATGTTGACTACTATCATGCTCTGCAGAACAGTCTTTGACTCTCATTTGAAATTTAAAATTGAGATGCAATGCAAGAGGTTATTTGGTCATGCGCTTCACATTTAACAGATATTCAAAAACAAGTCTGCCTGCCTCTGACCTAGAGAAGGTTATTCATTTGTTCATTCATTTCATCTGTATGTGTTATACCAACGACAATAATAAAGTAGACATCTGCCGTTGAATAAAAATACATTTACATTTAAAACCCTTCAAAAACGTTTCATTAAAATCACATAATCCCTATTGGACTCCTTTTTTGTGAGACCTTATAACCTTGGAAAGCAAACTGAAAAGAGAAAGTTTACTCCTTCCACTTTAGTGTCAAACTAATGTTTCTGAAATCTTAATATCTTACGTCCACTCTCAAAAGAAACTAACTTTCAGAAACATTTAACACATGAAAACAATAACTCCAAGTTAACCTTATTTCACAGTAGTTGAACAGTATCTTAGAATAAGCCGGAATCACTTTTAATTGAAAATAATGATAAGGTGTATTGGAAATTATTTATGTTTTTTGCTTTTCCTGTTTACCTGCATTTTACCTTAATGTTAATTTTAAATTCTACACATATGTTATGGTCGAGTCCATTGTTACAACTACTGAGCAGAGGAGATGCAGCATCATGGATACTTGTTCCTATTATTATAAAGAGCCATTTGGGATTTGGGGACACAAACTACTACTGTGAACTAAGTAAAGTAAAATAGGAGTTCCCACTGTGTTCTGTTGCAGACATCTTCCTTCCTATAGCTGTAAATGGAATGACATGTCTGTCATTAAGTATGTTTCTTACCTGGTTGTCAAATTTTAGGGACTGTGTGCCCACAAGGAAACGGATGGCATCAGTTTCAGCTGTCTGGGCTGTAAGCGCTCGTGCCTGCAATATGATACAAAATAACACGACTAATAAAATAATATTCATACTGTACAATAGATCAGAGAATTGCTTAGAAGTATACAGTATGGAGTAGAGCTTTCAGCCGGGTAAACACATAATGAATGGTGACAGTACCTGGAATTCGAGTCCATAAATGACAGGAGCGTCGTCCTCCATGTTTCAGTCTGTTTCCCAGAGCTTTCTTAGCGTTTTATTTGTGTTTTATAAACCTCGTCTCACGGTCAAAACACTACAAAAATACTGCATCTGAACCACGTACTGCACAAACACAACACAGTTGATCCACTTCCGCGATTCAGAATTGGAAAGAACGAAGCGTAGGACTAAACTACGTAACGACAGTCGTGCAACGTTCTAAAGGTTTTTAAAGTTACGTAAAAAACGTCGGGAATACAAAATATCAGCGTCATGAAATGTGTCTGCTCTTGAATACCGTAGATGCAGCTTTCCTTTGGAACTGCGCATGCGCATTACATGTATATCTGTCAGTGCAGTAAGGTAAGAACATAATCGTGTTTGTTTCAGTTTTGTATTTGTTGTTTGCCTTTTCGGTTTTATAAGAATATCGCGGTAGTATGTTTCGTGCTTTTTAAAACGAGGAGAGCTATGAGTCGAGCATGTTTTCTACATTTGCAACCAGCTGCTTAGTTAAAATAGCTTGATAGCCAACCGGCTAATGTAGCATTAGCCAGATAGCCAGTAATACACAGACAGCGAACCTGCGATATATCTGCTAACGGCTCTTTCGTGACAGGACGTTAAGCACGGATAAAAGAGCTGAAGCTGACTCGTTTATCTCCGGATGTAACTGTGAACGTAAGCTCAATGACGATGACTAGAGCTCGTAAAAAATTGCGTTTACCTATGATGACAGGAAGTGACTGAGAAAAATGCTGCACAGTGTTGTACAATTACGCAGAGAGTATGAGTCTGTCACAGTTTACATTACATCAAAAGGCATTTCTTGATTTTTCAGGAGCAGTAAGATGGACAGTGAGGAGGCTCCTGCTCAGAGGCCAGTCTCCTTGGAGATCACAGTGGAAGATGTAACTACTGAAGGCCCAGACCCTCCAAAGCTAACCATCAGCCAAACCCCACCCAGAGAAAATCTCCTTCCCCAGGTAGAGAGCATCGACTTGGGCGGGGAGTTTTCCACCCCCCAGGAAGACAGCAGTGCTACACCTTCAGAGAGCCTGATGGACAAGCTAAATGACCAGATGATGGAGAGCGTCCTGATTTCTGACTCGCCTAACAACAGTGAGGAGGACGACGACGTAGCCCCCATGGACTCCTTTCTAGATGCAGTGGAGGAGGAAGAAGATCATTTTCACGAGACATCAGTCGACAAAGAGGAACAAAGTGAAATAGGTCAGAATACGACTGAGATTGAAGTTACAGTGGAGGAACAGGAGAAGGATAGCTCTGTGGAGAAAGTGGATGAAGAAACCAGGGAGCAGACACTGGACACTGAGGAGCAGGTGATATCCTGTGTTTCACTCCAAGTTGACGAGCACAGCCCGTCTGATCCCAACAGTGGGGAACCGTCACTACTAGAAGCTCAAGAGATGAAAGATTTCTCTGTGCCGGTGTGCACTATATTCAGCCATGGCACCCATCCAAAGTCTTTGGTGCCCGATGGATTCCAGCCCACCCTCATCAAGTCCCCCAGTTTTAGCATGGGGAGCGGTGTAGAAACCAGTGAGGCAGTGACCCCCAGCAAGCTGATGGCCCCCCTCGTGTGCCAGCCCAGCCCCAGCCTCAGTAAGTTCTTCAATGATAACGGACATGTCAACCCAGCCTCAGATTTCTTTGATTCCTTCACTGTCCCCTCCTCCTTCATCTCTGTTTCAAACCCAAATGCTGACATCCCTCCTGGTGCCACCCCAGCGTCCATAGCCCCCACCCCTGAGCACCAGCTCTCCTCCACCTCCTCCTCCATCTCCAACCCCGGTGGAGCTCTGGACTCTGGTGCTCCCACTCCTAGTTCAGTGTTTGCCCCATCTGAATCCACCGCCAAGGCCCAACCTCCTCCATCCCAAGAAGCCCCAGCTCAAGCCCCTGCCCCAGCCCCTCAGCCGCAGCCCTTCAACACGCTCCAGGCTGTGTTTTCGGGCAGCGATGACCCATTTGCGACAGCGCTGAGCCTGAGTGAGGTGGACCGGCGCCATGATTCCTGGCTGCCATCTGGGGAGACCAGGAAGGTGCTGATCTCTGTGGCCTCCCAGCAGTACAGCCCTGCCTATGTAGAGACCACCAGACTCACTATGCCCGGACTCAAGTTTGACAACCTTCAGGTGAGACTTATGGTGTAATCAGACAACATATTTCTTTGGAAAGTTTTGAGAGCTGTTATATACCCTGTTAACCAGGGCTTTAACACTGAGCTTTGAGAAGCATGTGAATATTTACTGTCCTAAAGCATTGCAACATGCTGGTGAAAGTAGCTACTGAAAGATGGCTAGCTTGAGTTGATGGCACAGTATAACAAAATCAAACAGCTCAGGTTCAGGCTTGTCGCAAAACAATTATTTATCATGTATATTAAACATTTGTTTAACAAAAACATAATTTCATACAAACTCAATATGATAGTAACCCATATGTGCCTGTCTATATCTGTCTGCATCATGGGAAATGTCAGATACAGTGTTTCTGAAGCTTGTTCTATACTAGGGACTTAAAGTCAGGACACCCACGTCTTCTTTTTTTTTATCAGTAAAAAACAGTTAAATAAAAATGCCCTCACAAGTTTTGAGACACTTTTACATGCCGTGTCTGCTCCAAACAACCATTAAGAACAATTTCATTCTAATATTTATGAACAAAGAAAAGCAGCAAATCGTAACACTTGAGAAGCTAAAATGGTTGCTGGTGTAACGATTGTGACGATACATCAATCGATAAATTGCTACAGCTCTAGCAGTATTATATTTCAGCACAACGCTCTTATCACATTCTTCATGAAAAGCAGCTAGGACATGACAATAGTGACACGGTCATTTTGTGTTCGTTATTTTGTGTTTTGTTTAAAGATTGTAGCTACATGTTTAAAATCTTATAATCTTAAAGGTAAGGCATTTATCAAGACTTGGGCTCCACCATGATCATCCATTTGGTTTAACACATTTCTCAAATGATGCTCTGGCACAACAGGCAGCATGTGGACATTTGTCACTCATCAACAAGCAGTCGTACACACACTCTTCATTGGCTATTGTGTCACCATGTCATGTTTTTTTCCCTCATAAACTCCCTCTGAGCTCCTTCAACAGTAACATTTATTTGTAATAACAACTCTTGAGTGATGAAACATCAATTCACTTATTTATTCAATTGAATTTGATGGTGTACGTCCACCTCCCAGCTTAGATTGTGTTCATTATCCTCCTCAGTGTGTTTGAATGCCTGCCTGAATAAATGAATACAAATCAAGGATTTCTTTTTTTTCGTCATCTTGGTGTTTATGCCTACTAAAAGCCAGTTTTCAGCAAACAAATTAGATCCACTCTAAAGCTGGAATAAAGAGTATTCTGACCCTGTTTTCTTTTCTTTCCTATTTGGGCAGAATATATTTTGTAACTGATTGTTTTTAAATCCAGAACTAAGGATGTCCAGATTAAGTTTATTAAAAGAAAATTGCCCCCAATCTGCTTTATTGTTGATTAAAAAAGTACTGATATTTTAAATCCTGCATGTAATTTTCAGGTTCTTTTAGCATGACATCACTAAGGCATATGCACTTCTATTATGTGCTATTTCATGATGTTAAATGCATGTGTGTGTGTTTTGCTGCAGGGCGATGCTGTTAAAGACTTAATGCTTCGTTTCCTGGGAGAAGCGGCGGCAATGAAGCGTCAGGTCCTCACCGCCAACTCTGTGGAGCAGTCCTTCACGGGCCTCAAACGTCTCATCGTAAGTCACCTGCTCTTCTTCCTTTCTATGACCTGTTTGTTCCTGTTCTTTTCACAGGTTCAGAGCATCATCCACTTTGTGCCAGTGCCTCTACTGTTGCAGTATGGTCATCATTATTTTAGCTTTGGTGCTCATTTGTGATAATTTATGTCTTTGCATAATAAGCATGCAGTTGGAACAACCTCTTAGCTTGACCGTTCACTCCTGACCCTGAAACTGCTGTTGATAAAACAATCTCCCCTCAAGGTTCACTTATGATCCTGTGCCAGATTTGAAAAATGTATCACACAGTCTGCATTAGCAGATAAGTTTTGCCTAGTTTTCATTATTCACAACATCTACAGTTCCATCAACTGAGCTATCTTCATCTGATGATGAGGACTGTTAATATGATTTCACTGGGCCAGAATGAAGGCTAACATCTCCTAACCAGAGGTATTTTAAATACTCTGTCAAATCCCCAAATTAACACTCTTGTTGCTTTTATAGTTATTATTTTCATACCGGGATACACACTTTTTATTTATTGTACTAATATGTTCATTGTCAATATCACAGAGGAGGATTATGTACACTTAAATGTTAGGGTAAAACATGCAATTCTATGCTATGCTATAGGAGTTAAGTGTGCATTTGCTACTGTGCAGGTGCATTGGACTGCAGTGTACCTGGCAGAGGCTATGAAAAATATAGTATTTCTCATAATGCTAGATAAGATGTATTGATGAAATAATAACAATTAGAGTTGTCCAGAGCAAGCAGAACTCTGCTGTGTTGTGTCTACCTCAGCCTGTTAGTGTTGCAGCCAGGGTGTGGAGCCAAACAGTGGAAATGAGTGCGTGTGAATGGGAAAATTGATTTAGTTGCACCGGTGATTGGAGTAGCAAAATATACTAAACTCTGATGGTAATTAAGCTGTTATTTCTCCTCACTCTTTCTCATTAGCAAAGATCACTATAAAAACATTATGTTTCTCATTTTAGCCTGTGCATATCACCAATTTCAGCGGTTAAAATGACCAACATATATTGTGTCTTGTCATAATAGCTGTTGTTAAATAACATCAATTGTGAGTAAGTTGATGGCTGGTTAAAAACAGTGATCTTCTCTGTAGCGGATCCCAGGAGACACATTATTCCATTCATACCTTAAAGCAGGGGTGGGGAACCTCCGGCCTCCGGGCCGTATACGGACCGTGAGACCATTTGGTACGGCCCTCGAGGTAATTTATAAACACACGCAAAAAAGAAAAAAATTAAAGAAATCTAGACCGCAAAAGAATTAAACAAGCGAGCAGCGACGTGGAGGCAGGGGAGGCAGAGCCTCACCTGTCATACTCCAATGTAACGGAAAAACAATTAAAGAAAAACTAAATAATAATAATAATAAAATGTCTCCACTGATCTTGTGTAAATGTGATTTCTGTATGATTCCAATCGCATTTTATAGTCAAAATCAGCAAATTTGCCGAGCTCCGCTACGGGAGGGATGAGAAGTGAGGCAGGGACGAGCACTGCCTCACGTAAGCCCACAGTAACTTGCTGGAGCGCGGGCACTAATTTAGCGCGGCCACTTATTTTGTGAGCGCGCTCAAGCCATTTACTGTGGGGTGAGGTGAGGCACAGATGAGCTCTGCCTCACCTCAGAATGCGTCACCCCACAGAAACTGGCTGGAAAGCGGGCCTAAGCGCATGCCTGTTCCCATCTCACTGTAGGTCACCAATGTAATGTTTGTAGATCCCTTTATTACATTTATCCTCGCTATCCATAGTCTCTAAATAACTTATTTCACGTATATATGATATTTAGGCTCGCTGGTCTCATCGTACAACGGCAATGAAAAAAGCACCAGGAGAGGCAGCCATAACCTCTGCCGCACTGAAGGGGGCGCACGTGAGCCCACAGGTTCTTGTTGCTACTGTTATTCTACCGCAAACAACAAACTAGACTTTTGAAACTACAGGAAGATAAGGAGGACTTTTACAAAACAGTAATAGAGATTGTTGTCCAGAAGGATAGCATGGACTTATATTCATCTTCAAGTCAAGGTAAGACCACAACTGTAATGAAAATGGGATCTTACTTAGAAAGAACAATCCAATATTTAGATTTTGGGTATCCTTTTGTTGATCGGTCTGTTTAAAATTAATCATAGCATCAGACTAAAAAAGCTTTTGAAAATAACAGAATATTTCGATTAAGGTCAAAATAGGCTATAATATTTGTAAATCTGACTCTGAAAGAGTCAGTGCCTCACCAGCCATGAACCTCACCGCACGTCACTGCAAGCGAGTGCCTGTTTTTTCCTGGCTCGTGTTGTGTTCAGGGTCCTTGAACACAACACGAGCCTAACGTGTCATCATGTGGTATATGTCTCGTCTGACAGGGGTGCAGTTCTGCCAGAGAGCAACAGAACGCCGCTCCGGCACTTCAGAAATGGCAGTACCCATAAGGAGCCGTACACATGCCAGTTTTTGCGTGGCTGTGTCTTTAGTTGAAAGCCCAGTTCATCTGTCATACTGATCATACAGTCAATAACTTTGTTGTTATTAGCATCTGGTTAGCTAGCTATGCTAACGAATATAAGAAGCTTGTTCTACAACCAGTGAGGTAAAGGCACATCTTTATATGATCATTATAGTTATACAAAAATAGAGAATAAAGTAAACGGGTATAAAATACTATATGACAGTAAAAAAAAGTTGTTATTAATAAACAAGAATACAGTTTGAAAGGGGAGTGATTTGTAAAATATCCAAATAAAGAAAAATAAAATCTGCTTACAGGTCTGTTTCATATGGGTGTTGAGAGATGTATCCATAGATCTCCTAATGTTGCTCTCAAAGTGCACCAGATTGATGCTTTTAACTTCAACATTTTAAAAAAATCTTCCCGGGGGAGCATGCCCCCAGACCCCCCTAGAGGAGGTGAGGACCCCCCTAGAGGAGGTTAGGTCCCCCCCCACTTAAATCATGTTCACATGGATAGGAAACTAAATACATTTGCACACATGTCCATATCTTTCTGTTTTGGTGGTCATGCCACAACCGTGCACAGGGGCGCCGTAAGGGGGTGAAAAGTTAGGACGATTCTAAGGGCCCGTGACTGACGGGGGCCCAAAAATGTTTAGAACATTAAGAAAAAATGTTTAATTAACCTTTCATCATTCATCAATAATTAACATTAATAGAACGTTATATTGATAATGTACTCACTAAACTTACGATTCATTACGATACGAACTTTTTTTCTTCCAAAAGTTAATTATCCAAAGCCTCTGTACACCCCCCTCTATTTACATGTAATGGTTTGGCCCTCCCTCCAAACGCGTTGCTGCACTGGCACTTTCTGGCAGAGAGTGAGAGCATGTGAGGAGGGATGCTAGTACTTACGTGTGTACGATGTCTCAACGACTAACAAAGTCAGGCTTTCAAAAAAGAAAAGAAAGGAGAGAAAGACGAGAGAGAGGGCCTAAAGGGCGACAGTATGTCACCCAGTTTTTCAAAAGAAAAGGTGGGTGTGGTCCATGAGTGGTGGAAATTAGTCTGTTAGCTAAGCTTAGTCCATTGTCAATAATAATGTTAATGTTTTGCTGACATTAAGTACTGTTAATATCTAATATAGGTTTTTCATTTCACTCCTCTTTTAGCTGACATTTCATAAATGCAGGTACATTTTTAGCAGCTATTCAGTATTCATACTAAATCAGTTGTCCTCCCTGGTGCCAGGACCAACAGATCCATCTTTAGGCTCAGCCCCCCCATAAGGCTTTGCGGTCTTGCCATGCTGTCCATTGAAAGCCAGTTGGCTAGAAAGCTGGACTTCAAGGACTTGATCAGTGACTTTGCCTGTAAGAAGGCTAGGCGCTGGGCTCTTGGTGAGTAAGGCTGAGCAAGGGCTCGTAATAACTGTTAAAGGGCAAGGCTATGGTAACGATATTGGATCACTACACACAAGATGCATGATGAGAAAAAGACTGAGAACAGGTAATAGGCTCTGATTTAGCACCACCATCAGGCCTTTTCATTTCCATTTCCGTTTTGTTGTCCATTTAATACCTGCTTATTTTGTAGTTGGTATGTATATTTAAAATAATCTGCTGCTTATGTTATTTTTTGTGTCATAGCATTTTATAAATGATAATATTGGTGTTAATGTTCACTTTATTTTAATTTAAGAGGTCATGTATATTTAAGTTATATTTATTTGGATTTATGAATGTTCCATTCAAAAATGTTATTATTAAAAAGGTATTTACACCATAAAAGATGACTATTGAGGTCTATAGAGTGTCACAGTGACGCGTCCTAAAACCCGGAAGTAAGCTTCTTCCGGTTCCCTCGATAAAAAAGCAATGCGATTTCTCCATAGGATTTTGGAAAATAGCTCGAAATAAGGTCTGTGGTTGACACACATTTAAGAGACGGATCACGTTTTGTTCAGTCGGATAATCTCCACATGTCTACCCTACTTTTATAATTTTCGAATCATAAATCTATCAATCATAAAACTATCGATTTAGGGTTTTAGGACGCGTCACTGTGGCACTCTATTGTCAGGAATGTTAGTCTTATATCAAATAGTGAATTCTACTGCAGCAGAATGTTGCACGTCTGCACAGTGTTATATTTTCACAGCTCAGTGTCAGTAAATATTGTGCAGTTAGTATTGGACTTCAAGATAGTTGCAAGCCTGTAAAGGTAGAGTTATTTAAAGCATAAATGGGTCGGTTGGGTTCTGGAGGTGTTTACAGCAATAGTGCTTGGTTGGCGTGGCCTGAGCCTGGTGGTGGGGCCCAATGTGATATCTTTTCATGGGGCCCAAAATCCCTGGCGGCGCCCCTGACCGTGCACGTGCATGCATACGCGAGTCATGGTAAGATATCTGGATTAAGAGGTTGCTTTTTCTTTGCACAGCATGAAAGAAAGGCGAAATGAATGGGCTGTGATTTTAGTATTTTTAAGCAGAGTTCAATCATTTGTACGGCCCTCGGAGGATGT